GTGTCTGAAGAGTGTTAGCACAATGGGGCACTGATCTCATTTGGGTCCTGTACGTGTTATTGTCATACAAATAATTGGAAATACTTGAAAAAGAACCCCTCCCACCATTTTGGTGTGATCAATCAAAACTAGGACTTACATTCCACCAGCTGCAGCAAAGTGAACTATTAAGCACTCACTATTTCCAGGGCTTTACAAATGCTTCGGATCACATTTTCAGGGGACTGTGTTTCCATAAAATTGCACGCAAACACACTTTGCTCACTCATATTGGGTAGCTGGGTGCCGAAACACCTGGTTCATATACACAGATGTGGTTTCATGTGCAGTTTTGTGGGGAAACGTTCTGAGGCTTGTTTGAAACTATGGAACAAAGATCACAAGCACTCATGTTGGCTGCTGCTACTTTAGAAAATTGAGAACATAGAAATAATTGAATTGATGTTCTCCAAATGCGAGAAGCAAAAGCGGAAGCAATGGAGTTTTTTTTTTGCTTCTTGGGCCTGGTCCCCACTAACCCCCCACTTCGGACTAAGGTACGCAAATTCAGCTACGTTAATAACGTAGCTGAATTCGAAGTACCTTAGTCCGAACTTACCGCGGGTCCAGACGCTGCAGGAAGGCTCCCCCATCGATGCCGCGTACTCCTCTCGCCGAGCTGGAGTACCGGCGTCGATGGCGAGCACTTCCGGGATCGATTTATCGCCTCTAAACCAGACGCGATAAATCGATCCCAGAACATCGATTGCTTGCCGCCGGACCCTCCGGTAAGTGTAGACGTACCCTTGATGCCTTCTAAGGGGATGATGCAAACAAGTGAATGGAAAAGGAAAAAAAAATAGGAAACTAAAGTGGAGGAGAATTGATTTGCACATGTGTTTCTGCAACACTTGTACCAAAAACTCCATGCTGCCTTCAATATACCAGCTATAATTACAATTCACCTTTCCTCACTCCTGGCACTGAACTGTATTAGCATCAGGGCATGCAAAATATTTACTGCATATTGGCAACCCCATATTTCATCTAGGCAAATCGTAATATTTTAACACTAAGCTTTATGAAGTCTGAAACATATAATTTTTATTAGCCACAACTGTCTTTCATGTTCTTCCCCCCCCCCCTTCCTTTTTTATGGCATCAGTAAGTAGCTTAGCTGTGGAATCCCCACTTCACTTGGCAATGTGGATGTGTTCTTTTTAAATTGCTTTTTTCAATAGAGAGCTTGTACTTGTTACTCTCGCTGTTGCATTCCTCCTGAACAGTCCCAGGGTGAGAATCGCTTCTCCACGTGTGACAACTCGAAACTGCACCAGAGGTTTAAAGCTAAAATAGCAGCACCCCAAAAATAAATAATGAAATAGCCGTTGTGTTACAGTAGGAGATGTGGGGCTGCAGATGGGGCCAGGAAATATCAGCCTCTTTAACAGATCAGCACTTCACGATACAGTGTACTCCTTATTAAATTTGTGGCAGCTTTCTAGCCGATGTTAAAGATGTTTTGTTCAGAGGTGGTTCCCTTTCTCCATTGTATATCTCAGGGTTCAGCATGTGTGTCTCGTTAGTCCTATTATAACTATGTTTCTGGCCCCATTATCACAGTGTCTGAGCATCTTACAATCTTTAATATATTTATCCTCATAACTCGCCCCTGTGAGGCAGGGCAATGCTATTATCCTCATTTTACAGCTTGAAAAGTGACTTGTTAAAGGTCACACAGGGAGTATGTAGCAGAGCAGGGAATTGAAGCCAGGTCTCCCAAGTCAGCACCCTAACCACTGGGCCATCCTTATGCTCTTCCTCTGGTCTTAATTTTCAGAACATTGAGTCGATCAATAAGGTATCTGCAAAAGTGTTTCTTCCCTCTTGCATTTCATGAGCTCCAATATGCAGGCATGCGTTGCGCCCACATCTGAAGGAATCATCCTAAATCCTGCTTTCTGGGGGATTCAGCATTTAAATCGGGTGGGCAAACTGTTTGGCCTGAGGTCCGCATCGGGTTTCGTAAATTGTATGGAGGGCCGGTTAGGGGAGAGGGTCGTGGCCCGGCCCCCACCTCCTATCTGCCCCCCCGGACTCCTGCTCCATCCAACCCCCTCGTTTCCTGACGGCCCCTCTGGGACCCCTGCCCCATCCACACCCCGCCGCTCCCTGTCCCCTGCCACCTCCGGACCCCCGCCGCCCCATCCAACCCCTCGTCTCATTCCTGACGGCCCCCCCAGGACCCCTACCCCATCCAACCACCCCTTCTCCCTGTCCCCTGACTGCCCTCTGCCGCCCCATCCAACCCCCGTCCTTCCTGACTGCCACCTGGGGACCCCTGCCCCATCCAACCACCCCTTCTCCCTGTCCCCTGACCACCCCTGGAACCTCCCCCGGACTGCCCTCTGCTGCCCCATCCAACCCCCCTCCTTCTTGACTGCCACTCGGGACCCCTGCCCCCATTCAACCCCCTGTTTCCCCACCACCACCATCCACACCCCCGCCCCCTGACCACCACTCCAAACTCCCCTACCCTCTATCCAACCCCCCCGGCTCCCTGCCCCCTTACCGTGCTGCCTGGAGCACTGGTGGCTGGAGCCTGGCCACGCCACCGCGCAGCACAGAGCACCGGGTCAGGCCGGGCTCTGCAGCTGCGCTGCCCCAGGAGATCACAGCCCTGCTGCCCAGAGCATTGCGCCGGCAGCGGGTCGAGCTGAGGCTGCGGGGGAGGGGGGAACAGCAAGGGAGGGGCCGGGGCTAGCCTCCCGGGCCAGGGCTAGCCTCCCGGGCCAGGAGCTCAGAGGCCGGGCAGGACAGTCCCACAGGCCAGATGTGGCCTGCGGGCCGTAGTTTGCCCACCCCTGATTTAAATGGATCATTGTAAACTCCTGCTGGTTGAATTTACTCCTGCAGGACAGTCCCTCTACAGAAGCCCATGAACCACTCCGGCCCAGGCTGTTTGAGGAATTTAATGGAATACTAACTGTGTTTCAGTGAGTGCTGTTCTAGCTGAGGGTCTGTCGGCGTTTTCACATTGAGGACTAGGCTCTCTTTTACCAGTCAGTCCTGTCTGAGTACATCTCAGTTTGCTTGGGTCCTGATTCAGTAATGAACTGAATCATGTACCTAACTATAAGAACACGAGTAACCCTGTTCAGGAACCTTCCTGAATGAAGGACTGCATTGTAATGTCACCCACAGTTCTGATGCCCTCAGCAAAGAACTAAAGGGCTAATAATGCACTATTAAAATGTTTGCCATTGACTTAATGGGAACTGGATCAGGCTGTGAATGAGCTAAATTTCTGGGGAGAGAGTTAAGCATGACCTGATTACTTCTGCTCAGTAATTCCTGGCTTTTGCAAGTTAGAATGAAAATATGATGGAAAAGTTGAGGGGATTAATTTAGGAGGAAGGAATTAAAAAAAAATAACCATGTACTTCTTAGTCAAATGCCAGCTAAAGTAAATCACAGGGATGCCTGTTCAAACTTGCTCCTGCCCGTCCTTTCCTGCTACTGAGGCTGTGAGGACATTGATGGGATAGGGATAGATATTCATATAAATGTAAAGGTGGGAAATGGGAAAACTCTGGTTCATACCAGCTAGTGCCACCTTCTGCTCAGGGACAGATATGGGCACGTTCTTTAGTAACTGGGTGATAACAGAGGGGATTCAGGCAGACCAGTAAGCGAGGGGGAGGTCACCAGGGACTACAACACAGTTGATTGCTGCCAGCTGGCTATCTGCTTGCTGCATTTGGGGGCAGGCACACGGAATCGGGAGCAGAAGGAAGATGAAAGTCCCCTCCCAGGGGGAGACTGGGATGGAGAATCTGTTGGGGCCAGGAGATGGGGAAGGGCTTGCACGGGGAGGTCAGTGGTTTTTTTTTGGGGGGGGGGGGAGCGTGAAATGAGTGGTTCAACACCACATTTGGCCTTCATCCACCCTACTTCTTAGGGGTGTGAGTGTGAGCCCATGTATGTATACACAAAGAGGCCTGTTAATCTGTAATCCAGTTCTGCAAAGTGACGTTGTAAGGAAGGCCTTGTGTTCATTTCTCATTGGTTGCCTTTATCAAATACGCTCACTCTCTCTATAAAAAAAATTCCTTGCCAATTGCCACTCCTTCAAATGCCCTCTTGTTCAGGGTCAAGCTGGATTCTTACTTTCTCGCACCTGCCTGACTTCTTGACAGGAACCTTGTGGTTTAGTTATGTTTATAAACTGCTTTGATGATTAAGGACCTGATTTTTCAGCCTAGCCTCAACTAGTTGGATGGGTGCACGTGGTTGTGTCATGTCTCAGATAAAATAATAAATGCATCAGGGCGGGAGCCTAGTTTTACCACGTATTTGTACAGCACCTAGCACAATGGGGCCTTGATTCTAAAAGGGTCTTATACAAATATTTACATAATCCCAGTGTTGCATGTGCAACTCCCTGACATGTGGCTACAATCAGGGGATCGGAGCTGAGATTTTCAGAGCCACCATTGCAGTTGGATGTCCTATTCCCAGTCATTTGTATGGGAATGTGGGCATCCAAATGCCTTAGGCAGCTCGGAAACTATCAACCTACGTGCCTAAATGGAATCACTTGCCTCCAAAATAATTGTGGGTGAAAAACTACACTACAGTTGTTTGTGCCTGCAAATTGCGGCCACATGAAGAAAGGCAGCCCGTAAAAACCTGCCCCTGCAAATGCTCTGTCTCTGCTCCATAGCCTGTTGATGTCAGTGGAAGGATTCCCCTTTACCTCAATGAGGTTGTATTTGGGCCTATATTGTTAGAACCAGTGTTTCACTTTCAACCCATTAACTTTCAGAGGTAACTGTGTGTTTGTTAAATATATACAACAACCACAACAAAGTATAGGGACAAAGCTGTGATAAATGTCCCTCTCTTTGGTGCATGCCGGTTCAGAGGCTCTGCTCTGATGTTAGTCTCTTGCTAAGCAAGGCACGGTGATACGCTGGCCAGATGTATTAATATGCGCTCTCCTCCTTGTCTTGTTGCAGCCACCCAGATCGATCCCAACGAACTCCAGGAATTGTTTCAGGAAACTTCAGCCAACATCTTCCGAATTAACTCCAATGGTGCGTATAACGAAAGGCTTCCTAGTCAATTGTATGCGGTCCTGCTGATGACTTGTAAGCACGTATACAGCATTCAGCAAGCCCTGTTGTCAGGGAGCAGATATTAATGCATTTTTACTGCCGTGCCTCATGAGCTCCAGCACACGTACAATACACATTTCTTTATAAGATGTAAAAATATTCCCCCATATGTTGCATTAAATAGGCAGAGATATATTCCCCTCCTTGCCGAGACTGCATCCTTTTCTATTTTTAATTATGTCATCTGTTACAATAAGGAATTAGAAGGCAGAAAGGTGGAACAAGCTACACTGCTTCTCTGAAGTGTTGCAATGCTACAAAGTTCAGAGCCTGTCATATTAGCTTGCAAAACAGCTATTATTTTCTTTATTCTTCCTTCTGTATCAAATGGGAATGCTGTTCCTGGTAATTCCCCATGTGTCTGTTTAGGATACTGCTTCCTAAGGGCCCCGTAGGTCAGGGTGCTGAGTGCCTCTTGAGAGCTGCTCAGGACCTTCAACACTCCCTGAAGTTAATAGGAGGTGTGGTTGTAGCACCTTGTAAGATTCAGCTGTAAGACAGTGAATGACAGAAGGAGGTTGCGACCTCTGGTGTTATCTGGACTGGTGATCTGCTAGGTCACTCCAATCCTTGACTCTGGGACTCGGGAGCCAGCCTTACCCTGCTCTGCTGTGAGAGCCCCCACACCTGGGCTGTTCACGCACAACATGTAAGCTGCTCCCAGCTACTTGCAAGCGAATGACACTAGCCAATATCTCCGGTCCCAGACACAGCCCTAGGAACCTCCGTCTTGCAGTGTCCAGTTATGCCCGCTGGACGCTGCAAGCTTAAATGAGTTCGTCAATTTAACAAAGAAATTGATATGTACCAGGCTTGTTATCCCAAGGGGAGCCTCTGACACATTGCAAACCAAACGCACTGCTTCAGGTAGACTAAACAAACAGATTTATTAACTACAAAGATAGATTTAAGTGATTATAAATCAAAGCACAAGTCAGATTTGGTCAAATGATATAAAAGCAAAATGCATTCTAAGCTGATCTTAACACTTTCAGTGCCCTTACAAACTTAGATGCTTCTCACCACAGGCTGGCTGGTTGCCCTTCAGCCAGGCTCCCCCCTTTGATCAGCACTTCAGTCGCTTGGTGCTGATGGTGTCTGTAGATGGAGGTGGAAGAGAGAGGAAGAGCATGGCAAAATGTCTCTCCCTTTTATCATGTCCTTTCTTTCCTCTTGGCTTTGCCGTCTTCCCCCCCCTCCCCCGAGTCACATGAGCATTACCTCATCACAGTCCCAAACTGCCCAAAGGAAGGGGGTGACTCCATCCAGGGTCTAACAGATTCTTTTATTGCTGCCTAAGCCAGTGTCCATTGTTTTTGTGAGGCTGGGCTGGGTTTGTCCCCTCCATGCCCTGACGAGGTGTTAACTACCCCTCTGTTCTTGGAGAGTTTTTGCATGGGCTTGCTTCAAGCCATGAGGATAGATTTTCAGCCTCATAACTGTATACATGAAATTATAACCTATACCAAAATCGGCAGCCTTTCAGAAGTGGTGTGCCGAGTCTTCATTTATTCACTCTCATTTAAGGTTTCGCGTGCCAGTAATACATTTTAATGTTTTTAGAAAGTCTCTTTCTATAAGTCTGTAATATATAATTAAACTATTATTGTATGTAAAGTAAATAAGGTTTTTAAAATGTTTAAGAAGCTTAATTAAATTAAAATGCAGAGCCTCCCGGACTGGTGGCCAGGACCCGGGCAGTGTGAGTGCCACTGAAAATCAGCTTGCGTGCCGCCTTTGGCAAGCGTGCCATAGGTTGCCTACCCCTGACCTATAACCTTACTATAACATGACTGTAACAATTACTATAACATCACTATAACAACCATACTCAGTGCATTATGAGCCTTCCGAAAACACCCAACATGACAAAGTTTGCATTGGATACCACACAATTATTTTATAAAGATGAACATGGGGGTGCTGGGTGTTCCCCTGAGGTACGGAGCACCACAGAGGTGCTTTCTAATGATAGAGAGAAGACCTGCGAGTCAGGACTTCTGGGTTCTCTTCCTTGTGCCAGCAGTGACTGACACGTCATAAGAACTTAAGTAGGTAAGGAATAGGATCAAGTCACTATAACTCGGAGTCACGACGTCTAGAATTCAATTCTGCCTCTTCTACAGACCTGCTGCATGACCTCAGGCAAGGCTTTAATCTCTCTGAGTCTCAGTTTCCCCACCTGTAAAACTTGCACGATACTGAACCTGTCACTGAAATAATTTAAAAAAGAGTCAGTTTCATTAATAACACAGAGGATCAATTAGTTTATCCTGATTATACAGTTATGCAAATTAGTGTGTCATAGAGATCCGGGCCAGAAGAGACCAGTAGATCATCTAGTCTAGCCTTCTGTGTATCCCAGGCCACCAGCACCAACCAGCATCCACACACAAAACCCAACAACAAAGGAAATAAGACCCCCAGGAGATCAGTCTATTATGTGCCACAGGCAGAGACCAGGGGTAGAGGTGAGACTGAGGAGCACCAGTGTATGAGGACCCAACAGTGGCAGGACAATGATTGTGTGAGATATACCCAGATAATCCTGGGAAGTGACCCACATGCCGCAGAGGAAGGCGAACCCCCCCTCAATGTCACTGCCAATCTGATCCGGAGGAAAATTCCTTCCTAACCCCGCATATGGCGATCAATTAGACCCTGAGCATATGAGCAAGAACCAGCCAGCCAAGCACCTGAGAGAGAGAGAATGCTCAGTGCGACCCCGTCCAGTGTCCTGTCACCATCTGTGACCATCCCTGATGCTTCAGAGGAAGGAGATACAAAAACTTCCCAGAATGCACTGCGAGGGGAGGGACATCCCTTCCTGACCCCTGCCAGTGGCCTGCTGAAACCCTGAAGCCTGAGCGTTAGGAACATAAGATATAAACTGAAAGTGACACCCAGGGCTGTCAAGCCCTGCCCCCCCAACCATCACAAGCAACCTTGTCATGCACTCACACTCATAGATTTGTCAAGCGCTTTCTTAATACTAATTACGTTGTGTTCCTCCACAACTCCTGTTCCAGAACCTCATCCCTCTGAGGGTTAGAAATCCTCTTCTAATTTCCAGCCTGAATTTGTTGATGGCAAAAAGTGTGCAAATAGCTTGTGTAGCATGCTCTTGGGCTTCTGGCAAGCTGCCACTGTGGCTCTTGGTGGCTCAAAGTTATGGAAGTCCCTGCTATAGAACAGACATTTCAGCAATTTCACTTTGGCCAGGTCTATGCTACAAAGTTTTATTGGCATAGCGGTGCCAGTCAGGGGTATGAAACATAACTAGGCTGGCAATTCCCCTGTTGTAGATTCATGTATGCCAATAGAAAAGTGCTTCTGTCGGCACAGCTAATGTTATATCTATGCTCAGGGGCCCTGCCAGTATAGGTATACCAATATAGTGATAGCAGGAAAGCATTTGTAGTGTAAACAAAGCATTTGTGATATGTGTGGGCGTGGGGACGGGGGAGGAATCATGCACTTAGCAAGTTGAATGGCAGTAAGAAAGAATGGTTTCACTGCTAACCTTTGAGATGCTTTGTGGTGGCAATGGGACTCTTGCTGTTTTAGAGGAGATACTTCCAGGAAAAAGCCAAGTGCTGCAGAAAGGAGTGAAATTCCTCAGAAAGAGTTCTGATACCATGACCCAGTGTGGTCCTAGGGTTAGTCTTGCAGATTGAATATAGACCGCAGTTTCTGGCTGCTTATGGTCATTTAAGAATCTGTGACACTTCTCAAAAGAGACCAGGATTTATCGCAAATATCCTTGTCCGATTTCATTTTGTATGTAACTACTAAATTCTGCCTGAACTTTTAAGTATTTAGAGTACTCTTCACTTCTTGTTCTGAACTGTTGTTGTGTGATGTTGTGTTCTCTATCACAAGTGTCTGCATCTCAGTGCTGTCTGAAATGATTTCTTTATTCCTCTTCTGGAATAACGATGCCAATACTTTATAAAACATGGTGTAAAACTGGAGAGGGTTCAGAGAACAGCCTCAAGAATTGAGGACTGGAAAGATACAAAAGGCCTCTATTCATTTCGCTTATTGAGAAATTCAAGAGGTGACTTGATCACGATTTATAAATACCTACGAGGAGAGAAGATATCGGATAGTACAAGGCTCATTAATCTAGCAGACAAAAGCAGAACAAGATCCAGTTATTTGGAAGTTGAAGCTAGACCAAATCAAACTTTAAAAATGAGGGTGACCAACCATTAGAACAGCTTGCGGAGAGGTCTGATGGATTCGGCACCACTTGGAGTCTTTAAATCAAGATTTGATGTCTCTGTAAAATGTAGCTGTAGTTCAACTGCAAGTTATAGTCTTGATACAGGAACTGCGAGATGAAATGCTATGGCCTGTGTTCCTCGGGAGGATGGACTGGATGATCGGAATAGTTCATTCTGGCCCTAAAATCTATGAATTTATAATGCTTTTAAAGCACTTGGGTATCCTTTGGAATGAGGAGATATCTATAAAATAGCTTATTGATGCTGTACTGGTCACTGATGTTGTTGCAGTTATTTTTGCCTTCTGTGATCAGCTGCTCTTACTGAGATTATGCACTGGCACTCCCACCACTGGGGAAGGCAGGCTGTTACAAAGATCGGTGTGAGCAGCAAGGGGAAAAAGTCCAGGCATGAGGTTGGTAAAACAGCAAAATTAGGTAAAAAGATGCAACAAAAAACTGGAAGGGGATCTGTGGATAAATTAGTGGCACTCAACCTATTAGAATAACATGTAGTGAAAAACATGTAGTGTTTTCATCCATAGATTTCAAAGTGATTTACAAAGGAGGTCAGTATCACTTTACAGTTGGGGAAACTGAGGCACAGAGCGGGAAAGTGATTTGGCCAAGGTTACCCAGCAGGCTAGTGACAGAGCCACGAATAGGCCGGTCTTCTTAGTGTCAGCTCAGT